AGCTATTTACTATTATCCTTCTCTAAGAGGATATTTATATCCATAAGATTAGACTACTAATATACCTGGGCTGTTGTAAGAAGCATAAACCAGACAATCTATATAAAAAGCTCAGAGGGGTTCCTGTGTCACGTTGACACTCAATAAACAAGAGCTGTTTTCATTTCATATTTGGCACATCTAGCCCCCCTGTTCCTTACTCCCTGCAGCCCGTGTCCTGACCCTATGATGCCAGTGTGAGGATTTCCTGGAGGCTGACTGGATCATTCTTGCCCACCCTGTTCTCATGGGCATGTGCCTGGGTTGAGCAGCCTCAATGTGCTGGGTGCTACTGCCCTTCCAATTCAGAGGGTGACACCTGAGGATCTAGTTCAGAGGCTCTCAGAGCTGAACGAAGCTGTCAGACTCTTGGGCGAAGGCCCTCTTTGCCCTTTGCCCTTGATTCCTTGAGTGACCTTGGGGGTGGTATTACCTCCCTCAGCCTTTCCTCCTGTCAACCAAGGATTTGGAACTGGAGGACTTGAAGTCTGAGGCCATGAGGCTGGGTCTGTGTCTGTGATGGTGAAGTAGGGCACTGGGGCCAGGCTTGGGGGACACCCTGGTGCTAGGCTCCAGCCCTCAGTGCCATTTCCAGGCTGGAGAGGAAGTTGAGGGGCCAGTCCCAAAGCTGTTCAGGAGGTTGTCTCAGGGCAGGATCCTGTTCAGCAAATGAGAAAGGAGGTGCAGGAAGGCGAGGTGGCATCCCTGGGGCTGCCTTCTACCCACCCGGATGGGCTTCTAGCAAGCTGGCTGCAGGGTGAGTGCGTCTTCCTCCACACCCGGCTGCCACGCCCGCTCTTCCTCTTTCACACACACAGACGCACAGAACTGCGTCTACGACCTGCGTGTGGCTGAGATGGGGCCGTGTGCGTATGTGGAATGGTGTGTGTGTTGGCGGGTGTTAAGGAGGCTGGGCTGAGCGGCTGCCCTGGCACAGCACGCTGGGCGTGGGCCTCCCTCACATGTATGGAAGAGGAAGAGGAGGAGGAGAGCTGAGGAGAGGCTGGTGGGAGGGAGCGCGGGCTCAGGACAGGGGCTTGGGAGACCCCAGCTGGGGCAGCCTCTGCATTGGGTGTGGGAGGGGCTCCCTGGGATAATCCTTTTCTATTTTGCCTTCCCGGCCCAGCCTCAGGGCTGGCCTTGGCCCTGGGGAAGTCACGTGTTGTTCCTGGGCTGATGGATCCTTTAGGCTTCTGACTCCTGGGGCTTTGAGCACCAGCTACCCCTGTGCTAGCTCCCCGTGGCTTGGGCTGGAGGTGAGGGCCAGGGAGGGAATACTGAGACTCTTCTGCACAGCTGCTGCCCCTCCTCTTGGAAGTGCCGGGCTCCTCCTCGTCCTCTGGGATCCCTCCTACCCCGCACACACACACTCCCTTGGAATCACCGGCTCTGGTGACTCTGGCTTCCCTCTGCTAGAACCCTTGAGTTATGGGACAGCTCTCAGCTCATCCCACACGCACATCTCCAACAACAGGACATCAAGGGGGTTCCAAGTCTTGGTTAGGTTATTTGACATCTCCGTGCCAGTTTCCCCATGTGTAGGTAGTGAAAAATAACTGCCTCCTACATTTATTGTGAGAATGTCGTGAGTTAATACTGTTATTATTAAAAGTGTTTGGTAGACAATGAATATGGGTTGGGGAGGTGATGTATACTCTCGTATTAGTGCTTTGGTCTCCAGTGTAGAATGTGCCAAGGCCCCCGGTTTGACCTCCAGCACAAACAATGACCACGTGTATGAATGAGCACCTCTCAGCAGACCACACGCACAGCCTCTAGTGCCACCCATTGGACATCCTCTCCCTCCCCCTTGTTTCCCTGGGCACCAGCCGCACTGGCGCCGTCTGTGCTCACCACCTGTCCCCAGCCTGTGCTCAGGCCATAGTCCTTGGCAGGACTGGCCTCTACAGCGCCTCCTGTGGCTGCAGGCTGTCAGCACCCTCTTCATCTCCTGAGGGAGGCCTTTCCTGGTCACCTAGCAAGGAACCATCCCTGTCCTGTCTTCCGACTCCCTCACTCTGGGACAGCCTGCCTTGTTTCCTTTCTAGCATTTGTTGCTATCGCCCACGTTTCCCTGCCCCCCAATAGATTATACAGGCTGAGATGGGGACCGTGTGTGTCATGCACCTGGAATGGCGCTTGGCACCAAGGAGGCCCACAATAAACGTTGAGTGAATGAGCACACGAGGAAGGGCAGAGCTCACTTATGTTCTGCCAGGTGTTTTTCCTCCATCACCTTGACACCAGTTTCTCTCTTCATCCCACCCCCAGCCTCTTCAACAGTTCATCCCTTATCTTTCCTTCCTTCCCCAGCCACCCCACTGCTACTAACCAACATGGCGAACTTCACACCAGTCAATGGCAGCTCGGGCAACCAGTCTGTGCGCCTGGTCACGTCAACTCATAACCGCTATGAGACCGTGGAGATGGTATTCATCGCCACAGTGACAGGCTCGCTGAGCCTGGTGACTGTTGTGGGCAACATCCTGGTGATGCTGTCCATCAAGGTCAACAGGCAGCTGCAGACCGTCAACAACTACTTCCTGTTCAGCCTGGCCTGCGCCGACCTCATCATAGGCGCCTTCTCCATGAACCTCTACACCGTGTACATCATCAAGGGCTACTGGCCCCTGGGGGCTGTGGTCTGTGACCTGTGGCTGGCTCTGGACTACGTAGTGAGCAATGCGTCGGTCATGAACCTTCTCATCATCAGCTTTGACCGATACTTCTGCGTCACCAAGCCCCTCACCTACCCGGCCCGTCGTACCACCAAGATGGCGGGCCTCATGATTGCGGCTGCCTGGGTCCTGTCCTTCGTTCTCTGGGCCCCTGCCATCTTGTTCTGGCAGTTCGTGGTGGGCAAGAGGACAGTGCCGGACAACCAGTGCTTCATCCAGTTCCTGTCCAACCCAGCAGTGACCTTTGGCACAGCCATTGCTGCCTTCTACCTGCCCGTGGTCATCATGACGGTGCTCTACATCCACATCTCTCTGGCCAGTCGCAGCCGAGTTCACAAGCACCGGCCTGAAGGCCCCAAGGAGAAGAAGGCCAAGACTCTGGCCTTCCTCAAGAGCCCCCTGATGAAGCAGAGTGTCAAGAAACCCCCACCCGGAGGAGCAGCTCGGGAGGAGCTGAGAAACGGGAAGCTAGAGGAGGCCCCTCCGCCAGCCCTGCCACCGCCACCACGCCCCATGGCTGACAAGGACACCTCCAATGAGTCTAGCTCAGGCAGTGCCACCCAGAACACCAAGGAACGACCACCCACAGAGCTGTCGACCACAGAGGCCACCACGCCCGCCATGCCTGCCCCTAACCTGCAGCCTCGGACCCTCAACCCCGCCTCCAAATGGTCCAAAATCCAGATTGTGACGAAGCAGACAGGCAATGAGTGTGTGACAGCAATCGAGATTGTACCTGCCACTCCAGCTGGCATGCGTCCGGCAGCCAACGTGGCCCGCAAGTTTGCCAGCATTGCTCGCAACCAGGTGCGCAAGAAGCGGCAGATGGCAGCCCGGGAGCGCAAAGTGACGAGGACCATCTTTGCCATCCTGCTGGCCTTCATCCTCACCTGGACACCCTACAATGTCATGGTCCTGGTGAACACCTTCTGCCAGAGCTGCATCCCTGACACAGTGTGGTCCATCGGCTACTGGCTCTGCTACGTCAACAGCACCATCAACCCCGCCTGCTACGCGCTCTGCAACGCCACCTTTAAAAAGACCTTCCGGCACCTGTTGCTTTGCCAGTATCGGAACATTGGAACTGCCAGGTAGGCAGGTAGGCGTGCCCTAGGAGGTGCTGGTGTGGCACGTGTGCTGGGGGACCACATGGCTCACCTGCTGTGGGGAAGAGACTAGGAGGCCCCATTCCGTGCTCGCATTTGCTGAAGAGGAGAACTGAGCTCTCCACCACACTTTGAGGAAGAGGCTCTGTTTGGATTCAGAGACCAGATCCCGGCTCAGGCCGAGGGGGCTCAGCCTCTGAACTGGGACCACCTGGCCCATGTCTGTTGCCCTGCCTCAGGGAGCTGGGGGGCACAAGAGAATGGACACCCGGAAGGGGGCAGAGGCCAGGAGCGTCTCCAGAGGTGCAAAGGGTTCAGTCTTGGAAGGGTAGAAGGGTGGGGTCCCCCATTCTGCTGTAATTGGTGCTTTCCGCCTCCCTGCACCCTGCATGTAGGCTCAGCTCCTCCCCCCAAAACCCCACTCCAGGGGCAGAATTTTCCCTCCTGCAGCTGCTCAACCAGGGTTCTGGGTGGCTACGTGCATGGGGGAGCAGGCCAGGCCAGGCTCAGTGCTCTGAGGCACCTCCCTTTCCCCTGTAGCACTGTCCTTGTCACTTCAGGGTGGGGCAGCTGGGAGGTCAGGGATTCACTCAGGAACTGAAGCCTAGGCTTCTGTGGTCCAGCGTTGATGGACTTCCCTCCCCCAGGAGAGAGCCTATCCCGGGTCACACACCAAAGGGGGGGAGGGCTGCAGTGGGCAGTGCCCTACCATCTTCTCCACTCTGCCTCTGCCCTGAAGGAGATGTGGGCCCAAGGGAGACAGAAAGGGGGTAAAGTTGGTGACCCATGCAGGCTTCAATGACAGTGCAGGGTGAAGCAGGCAAGCACCCTCCATCTCTACCTTCCCCAATGGGCAGAGCCCTTTGATGGATAGTGGGCTGGACCAAAAGACCTTTGACCTGGTGAGGCTTCGTTCTAGTGAGTCATCCTGGTTTCCCTCCCCAGCCCTGGTGTGGTTATTGGAAGAAATGAGGACTGGATTTGATGGGGGACCCTTTCATGCTGTTTCCATGGGCTCTGGGGAGTACTCACCACCAAGCTACCAGTTCCCTTCAGTCCATCAATCCCTACCGCCTGTCTTTGCCCACTTTTCCACCCACAAACAAAGCTGCACAGCAAACTCCCTGGGAAGGGGCTTTTATATATTTAAAAAAAAAAAAAGCTTTTATTCGGGAAAAAAAAAGTCGATTCATTTTATTTATTTCTCAGTAACAGGTATCGTGGTGGGGAAGAACAAAGCGGGTATTGGGAATCAAATCCCTTTGGGGAGAGGCTCAAGCTTCCCAGAATCTTGTCCCTCCCCACTTGGGGCACTTGGAGTCGGGTGGGGAGTAAAAGACAAAAGCAGGGCATGATTGATAAAGCTAATAAGCAGACAAAGGCACTGGCAGGTTACATCCTGGGCCTGAGGGTGCAGGAAGGGTGCAGGCCTGGCCCTGGGTAAGGCCAGGGGCTCCTTGGCATCCCGACCTGGCCTCAGTCTTTTCCTTTCCCTTTCTTGGCTGTAAAACAAGAAAGAAACACCACATTAGCCCAGTTACAGTGCTCAGGAGAGACCCCCCCCTCCAGGTACATCAGAGAGAAAATCCTGCCCCCTAGTGGTCTTCCACCAGCTGACCTGGAAGTAGGTGGGACAGGGCAGCCATTATGATGCCAGATGTTCCCTACTCCCTCAACTTTATATTTTCACCAGGATCAAAAAACTTCCAAGTCACGCGGCGCCTGGCATGCGCGGGGCGCTGGGTTCGATCCTCAGCACCTTTGTTTTACAAATAAAACAAAGATGTGTCCACCGAAAAATTAGAAGTGCAGCTTTACTTCTGCCCATTGGCCTGTCTGGACTGTTGAGAGTCAGGAATGAGCTAAGGAAGAGAGACCTTTCCACTGAAAAGTCCTTCCTCAACCAGAAAGGGGCAGAGGGGACCAAAGAATCCCTCTGGCTGGAGAGAGAACAAAGACAAGTGTTCCCTGGGTCCTAAACTAAATGTTTCAACCGAACAATGAGTGGGTCCCTCCTCCAGCCAGAGATCACTTAGTACCTCCTGAGCAGCTCAGTGGCCCTCCCTCTTGTCCTTAGGCGCCAGGCCCCAAATTTCAGGTGGAGGGTAGCCCCCCACGACAGCCTCACCCAACTCCCTTCACTGACCTTTGGCCTTGGCTTTGGTCTTGGGAGTACAGGGCTTGGTCACGCGGATGGTCTCCTGGCACTGGGCATTGTACCGGGCCTTCTTCAAGGTGCCTTGGCGGGCTTTGGTGCCTGTGCCCCCATCACACGCCCCCCAGCTCTCAAACTTGTATTTGCAGTCGGCTGGCGCGAGAGTGGCCCGGGTTAGAGCTGGGGCGGCTGGTGGCCTCTCTCCACGGCCCTACCCAGGGTTCAGTGAAACTGTGCCCCCCTTTCCTGCCCTCCGCCTGCGCCCCACCTCACCTCCAAACTCCTTCTTCCAGTTGCAAGGCACCCTGCACCGGATGCTCTGGGTCTGGGCCCCGCAGGTGCCCTCGCGCAAACCCACGCCGCAGTCCTTGCTGCTGGGGGTGCAGGGTCCCCAGGTCCACTCTGCGCACTCGCTCCCTGGGACGCCCTTCTTCACTTTATCTACAACGCGCAGGGGACAGAGTTCAGGACGCGGGCCACCGGAGACTTCCTCGGAGGTTTCCGAGCTCGGAAACCCGGCGGCCGGTCCCGGATTCACCTGCCCGCCCCCACCATCACCTTTCTTTTTGGCCACCGCGGAGGTGAGCGCCAGCAGCGCGAAAAGGGCGAGGAGGAGGAAGCCACGGTGCTGCATCCTGGTGGAAGAGCAGGGGTCAGAGTCCCTCGCCGGTCCCCTTCCCCACTACTGGGGGCCGCGTGCAGGGACCTCCCACCCCATTTGTTCGGTTCTCCGGGCCGCTAACAGGGCTGCAGAGGGAGGACTTGGAGCGGGCCCCTCCCGCTGGCCAGGTAGCGTCTCCGGATGTGTCGGTCCCCTGGCGTCACCGAGAGCCCGGGACGCGGCTCGGACCCCCAATCCCGCCTCAGCCCCCGGGGTGGTA